AAGCATGGATGCTGGGGATGAGCCAGGGAGCCCAGAGGGGTCGGCCAGTGTGGAGCAAGACATGGAGTAGCATCGTCGGTTTGTGCTCGAAGATGCCGCCTGGGGCGAGTGTGCCGCGTGAGACAGGAGGCCGAGTCACAGCCATGCCTGAGGTTTGAGGGAAGAGGCTGGACCAGGGAGAGAGGGGAGAGACAACAGGCTCAACCGTCTGAGGAAGGAGGCAGGGGAGGAGGGCCAGGTGAAGGCAGGACGGGGATTGGCCCTCCAGAGAGCGAGGGGCCGCCTGGGTCACTGGAGACCTGGTTGGTGGCAGGAACCTCAGAGCGCTTGTCCGTGAAGGCTTAGTGACCCTACAGGACAGTCTGGGAGCAACAGGGACATGCTGGAATGGCTTGGAAAGGAGAGGTTCATGACCTCATGCGTGTGGAGTGCCATCAGCACGCACACAGGCCTGCCCGTGCAGGGTACCGTGCTGTTCGCACACCGGCCCTCCAGCCAAGGGAGAGGAATGCGACTTGGCCAGTCAGCCACCCATGCCCTCTTTCTGTCTGGTCAGTATTTGACGTTCGTTTGCCCCCTTCCCCTTAGTCTTTGTCACTGGAAGACCCCTTGTAGTCCCAAACCAGGAGCCCGGCAGGGGCACTCCTGCTTCTCCATCCTCTTGTCTCCAGGGAGCTGTCCTGAGCGGGGAAATGTCTTTTCAGGACTTTGCATGCCATTGCAAACCTGGGAAGACATACACATTTGCCAGTGACAGAGTGAATCTCGTTCCTCCGGTCTCTGCCTGCGGACATCGCTCCTTGTTTCCTACACCAGACAGACAGCTTGTCCCTTGGGAGGGTCACCTGTCTGCCCGGGCGGTCCCGCTCACAGGGGCGTCAGCTGTGTCTCACTGCACTCCTGGAGCTGGCTTAGTCCGCGGGCGCCCGCGTTTGCCCCGGTCTGGAGCGGCAGAAGGTCATCGGTAGCTGAAGAGCTTGCGCACTCCGTCCCAGCAGAGCAGAACGTGCAGAACGTGCAGAAACTCCAGTCCTCCGGCTCCCGGCTCCTTTCGAAGAAGCCCACTGGGCTTTGCACCCTGAAGTAGGAAGTCTGAACGGGTCACCTTTGGTTCCTACAGTTACTCACTGAGCGCCAATGACGTTTCAGGCACTGCACTTACCCAAGGTGGCTGTAGTGACCAGGGAAATCATGATCCCGGCCTTTTCAGGATGCTAGTCAGGGCGGGAGAAAGGTGGAGGGAGGGCCGACAGACGGGCAAGGAGCAGATGGAGTCAGAGGCCATCAGTGCTGTAGTTGGGGAGCTAGATGTGCTATGGGAGCATTTGGCATGGGGTACCTAACTCAAGTTTCTTTCTCCAGTGAGTTCTGGAGAAGTGACAGTTAACCTGGTATTTGAAGAAGGAAGTGGAAATGTCCAGGCAGGACTTGGAATTGGGGTTAGAAGACGAATAGGAAGAGGGTCTGGCAGAGGGCTAGAAGGTGGGTAGGAACGTAGACTTGAAAGAGACTTCCTTGTGGTTGGAGCATAGACTCTCAGAAGCTGTAGAGACAAGGTTTGGTCAGGACTCGTGGGCCACTCGGAAGAGCTTGCAGTGGGTTGGTGGGAAGCCAGCAAGGGGTTTTCAGCAAGTGAGACGTTCTGAGTGCTGAGGAGTGGGTTTAGAAAGAGCAAAATAGTACCGGTGGGTTACTTGGGAAGTTCGAGTAATCTAAGAAATGGATGATGGTGGTGGTGGTGATGAGATTGGTGGTGAGGATGATGACGGCATCAGGGGTAAGGCTGGTGGTGGTGAGGATGGTGGTGGTGGTAGTGATGGTGAGGGTGTTGGTGGTGAGGTAGTGGCGACGGTGCTGGCACCTGCACTGGCTTGCCCTGGGTGGTGGTACTGGGAATGGAAAGGGCTTTTTGAGGGGGTGGGGATGTAAAGTCCTGAGCTGCCAGGGCCCGGAGCTTTCCCTACGGGGCTGCCGTCTAGGACGGGCATTCCTCGAGCAGACCTGCCCTTTCTCTCTGCCCCCCATTTTCCCGGAAGTTCTTCCTTCCTACTTGGGAAAGGGCAGAGAGTGAAACATCTTCAAGTCCCCAGACCAGGGGCAAAACTGGCCCAAATTCGAACATTACATTTGTTCCTCCTAGAGGGTCCTGAGAAAATCTCGGGGGACATTTCCTTTCTCAAATCTGAGCTGAGATGTCATCGTCGCTGAGGGAGGATGGAAGGGTGGAAATGAGGTCATTGGCCCAGCTGGACGAGGCGGCAGTGGTCTTCACTTGACACCCCAAGGAGACACAGGCTTCCTTGCTATGGGATCTGCCAGGAGAGAAGACCCTGGAGCACCGCCCCTGACTCCCTGTGCCCTGGCCGCATCCGGGGTGGCCTCACTTGACCACGAGTGGCCACTGCACTGTCCGGGCCCTGCACTCTGTCCTCGCGCGAGGAGGAGCCTGAGAAGAATATAGCTGCCCCGGGGACACAGAAGCTGGCTGCGGCCACCCTGCTCAGGCCTTCTTAGTGCAGAAGGTTGCTGGATGTCAGTGAGGGGCTGGCGGCCATCACGAGGACAGGAGACACGGGGCCACGCGTTCCTTCATCCAGCCAAGGGGCAGCCTTGGTCTCCCCCCGTTGCCTCCTGCACAGGATTCACACGCGCCTGAACCACGTCTTGAGGTCTGGACTTGGAGCTGGAATCCTGACCACCACACGCCGTGTTTGCGAGACTGTTGTGTCTGCTTATGTTGCTCACACGGTCTCAGGTCCTGCAAGGGGCTCGGTGCTTCCTTTGCCGTTCGCATCCCTTGGACCGTGGAGCTGAGATCCAGGCATTGTAGTTTCAAAACCAAACCAAACATAGTGTGGTGACTTTTAATTTAGTGCTTCTCATTCCAAAGCCCTTAAAAATATTAATTAATTTCCATAAAACCCCAGGAGGCATATTATTCCTATCCGTCGTGCCTTTCATGCTAGTCCGTAATGGTCCTTTTGGTGCAGTAGGTGGGAAAGTGAGGCTAAATCATTTTTTTGCAGCCCCACGGGAGAAGACCTTGGTGGAGCCAAGGTCAGCAGTAATGAATCTAATTTTATGGCTGTCTCTGAGGAATGTCAACCCCGTGGCCTTGCATGTGATTTGGGGGAACCAGCACCCCCCCTTAAGAATGATCTCTGGGGGAGGCGAACCGTCCTTCCCTGGAGCTGGGAATTCGCAAACCTCAGTTCATTTGCCGCATGAAGGAGGCCAAGCTGAGGAGAGCCATGAGCGAGCAGTGGGCGGGCGGGGGGTGGTTGGTGCTTGGCCTGTCCACTCGAAACATGCCCAGTGGCCCGGGGCCAGGACGTGAGTGCAGGCCCACAGAGCGGATGGCCTTCTGCTGCCGGCGGATGGCGTGGCCTGTGGAGATTTCAGGGCGCCTTGCCTGGGAGCGGCTCCTGCCTGCCGAGTATTGGGGTTCTGTATTGGAGAAGCCAGAGAGCCACTGGTGAAGGAGGCTCCCGGTGCCTGGGGTTGAGCGTGGGGCCTTCTCCTCCAACCCACTCGCCGACTTCACAGCGTGCTTGTGCGGTCTGGTTTTGGGGGGCCCGTGTCCAAGTCGTCTCGGTAAGGTGTTCCCTGTCTGCCCCGGAGCTGGAGTTCCCTTGTCAGCCACCTTCACCTCGTCTCGCGGCGTCAACCAAAACCAAGCTGTTCGGGGTGTTAGGACTCCATGCCCGGCTCTGTCTCGCTCAGAGCACAGACCCGCGGTTTGTCGGGGAGGAGTCCGGAGCGCGAGCCTGCGTGGTTTTCATCACTGTTTACTCTGTGGGATTCCAGAACAGGCAAGTGCCCGCCACCTAGACCCGGCGATGCCCGTGGGCACGCCTTCCTGCGCCGCGCTGGGAGTCACAAGTGTCCCTGAAGCGTCAGGTCGGATTCATCCTTTTCCTCTTCTTGTCACTGAGTGTTGTCGTGGGTCCCTCGGCGGCTGCGTGCTGGGGACTGAGCGCGTCGTGAGGCCGTGGGAAGAATGTGGGCACAGAGCCAGCGCTGACGGGTGCACCTGAGCCTGACTCGTAGTCACAGTGTCGGTGGGCCTGACACGGTCACATGTGGACACAGAACGACGGCTGTGTGTCAGAGAGAGAAAAGATGGTCCGTCCTGCCCAGGGGTCCAGGGAGGGGCCATGCACCATGGCCGGGACCTCCACGACACGGGGTTGAGCCCCTGCTTTGACCCGGACCGTCTCCCCGCCAGTCGGCCCTTCGGAGCCCCCATGTGGGGACCCACAGCCTCCATCAGCGTCAGGTGAACGCTCGCTCCCCTGCCCGTGGGAGGGAACTTGGCACCTCATATATGTGTGAGCGTCCTCTCGGGCCTCCGGGGCGGCCCCTTATCTTATGGGCAGCGTTCTGGCCTGTTTGGGGGAGACGCGGGGAGGGAAGACCCCGTCCTCTAACCGCTGTCATTCGTGTGCATTAGTGCTGTCAATGCGGAGTTGATTTCAGGTCCTGCTCATCCCGCGAATCCCTTCTGTTTGTCTGAGCGGTCCCGGCTGGAGCCAGCGGGGGCTGGGCAGGGCTAGCGTGGCCCGGCCCGGAGGAGGGGCAGGCAGCTTCCCTCCTCCGGCCGGCGCTTTCTCTCGGCGCTGCTCTGACACGCCGGCCCGCGGCCTCCTGCACTTTACCAAAGTGTGCCTTTCCCCTTCCAGAGGATTTTTCTCAGGAGGCTTTGGTGTCTCCAAGAGATGCGGTTGCTGTCACAGTGGCTGGACCCGTTGCTCGGTGTGGCCATGCGGCCCTCACTCATCTCGCACGCTTGTCACGCGACCCCCTGGGTGGCTTGTTGGCTGCATGAAGCCCCACGGCCCCCCTGAGGGAGGTGTCACCCCAGGCTTACAGGTGGAGAAGCTCGGGGTCACTTGTCCAGGGTCCCACAGCTGCTCAGCGCAAACTCAGGGTGGGGACGGGGCAGGTACCCCGCGCATCCCTGACTCCACGGTGAGATTTTTCATCTTCTCCCGCGACAGGCCCGGTACAAGCAGAGCCTCGACCCGACCGTGGACGAAGTGAAGAAGCTGTGCACGTCCTTACGCCGAAACGCCAAGGAGGAGCGGGTCCTCTTCCACTACAATGGCCACGGGGTGCCCAGGCCCACCGTGAACGGGGAGATCTGGGTCTTCAACAAGGTAGGAGCACCGTCAGAGGTTCGTGGGAGCCCTGCCCCCTTCTCCTGCCACCCAGCCGCGTGTAGTTGTTGGTGGTCGGCCGTGGCTCCGCTGCGGGTCACTCTGCATCCACGGACCCAGACGCAGTGAGGTCCAGCTGGGCTGTGTGGTGGGGAGTTGTGGGGTCAGCTCCGTCTCAGCTGTCAGGGCTGGGACAGACACGAGGCGCGTGGCCACGGAGCGGTCGTCTGGAGGCCATGGCATGGTGCTCCCGGCGTGGTGCCCACGGTGCACTCTTCCCGCCGCAGGCAGGACCTGCTTGTGCATCTGCTGTGTGCGTCGCACGGTGACCAGGTTTCTCAGTTCGGTGAGTGTTCCTTTGAGAATCAGTGGTTTCCAAGGGAAGAAAATGGTGCGGATTCCAAAGAGCTCCCACCAGGCCGCCTGCAGACACGGCCTCAGCTCCACGCTCCCCGCGGCCAGGTGGATGGCCTCCTGCGGCTCCTAACCAACCGGGGGGTGAATGTGAGGGGTCAGCGACACCCTCCTACCATTTTCCTGGCTGGGAGTGGCGAGTCCCCCCCTGCCCCCAGCCCCATGGTGGGGCCACGTGCTCTCCTCGCACACGGTGTGCAAGGCAGTACCTGGAGGTGTGCCATGTTTGGGCACCACAGGGCTTTGGAGCCCCTGTGTCCCTCTGTAGCGCAGGCTCCCTCCTCCCCGCTGGGGTCACCGGCACAGCGGATCTTGTGTCTTCCTTACCTTGCCTTCCTTTGCAGCAGCCACCCTTTCTGTGGCCGTCCAGGTGCGCTGGGTCTGGGTGTTTGCTGGCTGTCGGGATTGGGGTCCTTCGGAGCCTGCTCCGGCCCTGGGTTATGCTCTGAGCATCTGTCCCTGCTGCTCCGGTGCCTGTGCCCTTCCCTCGGGCCCACTGTGGGGACATCTGAGGACCTGCTCAGGGCCTTCTGTACAGGCAGACGTCTCCGTGGTTCCCGTGGTTTTCCTAACTGCCCACCTTCCTGCCCAGCACTGTGGTCAGGACTTGGTTGTTCTGCCCAGCGTGGGGGTGCGGGTCTCCCCAGGGGCCGTGCCACGGAGCGCCTTCTGACCGCTGGTTGGCCGTGGAGCTTCCCCTTCTCGAAGTGCACACTCCTCTCCGTTTTTCCCTTGGGTTAGTGTGTCGTCTTCTTATTGATTTGGAAGAAATCTTCATATCCTGGACAGCGACCCTTTATCATTTTTATGAATTGTGAGTGTCCTCTCTGAATTTATGCCTTGGTCTGTTGGTTTGCTTCTGCCTCTTAATAGCGTCCCCTCGTAGCGGTTCTTTGTTTTCATGTGGTCATCGTGGTCAGTCTTCCTTTATGGTGTGGACATTCGTGTCTTCCTTAAGAAGTCCTCCCTCGTGCCAGGGTTGCAGAAGTGTTCCCCAGATGCTCTTCCAAAGCCTTGTATTTTTGTCCGTTGCATTTAGGTCCCTAATCTGCCTGAAACGGTTTTGTACGAACTATTAGGCAGGAGTTTATACTCTGTTTTTTTGTCCCCCTGCAATGGATACCTCCCAGTTCCGTTATTATTTAATGCCAACTTTGAACAAAATCACATTTCCACAGTGTGTGGGCATGTTCTGAGAGCTCTGCTCCATGGGTCTGCTTCTGTGCCAGGAAACTGTTCACGAGGTGGGTTCCCAGTGCTTGTGGTGTTTAGGGAGCAGACCCCTCCCCCCCTTGTTCTTCTTCAGTTCTTCTCGGCTGTCTTGCCCCTTACGTCTTTCTTTAAACTAGTGCGTCAACTTGTCCGTCAGCTGATTGATGGTGGGGGAGACTCAGGGTCTTTACATGATGAGTCTGACAGAGTTTGCTCTCCTTCTTCTTTTTTGTTTCAAGATTTTATTTATTTATTTGACAGAGAGAGATCACAAGGAGGCAGAGAGGCAGGCAGAGAGAGAGGAAGGGAAGCAGGCTCCCTACTGAGCAGAGAGCCCGATGCAGGGCTCGATCCCAGGACCCTGAGATCATGACCTGAGCCGAAGGCAGAGGCTTAACCCACTGAGCCACCCAGGCACCCCCAAACTATGTTCTTCTTAAGTGTCAGTAGTATTTCACAAAATAATTGTGATAATAATTTCACAAAAGTTTTCATCATTTGTTAGATATATTCCTGGCTGTTTTATATTTTTGATGTTATAAATGTTTACTATAAAACTGTATTTTGCAAGTTCTTACCAGGGTGTATGGAAAGGCAGTTGATTTTTGTACATTTATTTTATGTTTATTAATTTTCTGTTTTCTTATTGTTTCTCATAATTTATCTATACACACTTTTCTCTTGTTTTAATAGACTCTTTGCTAGGTAGGAAATAGCAGATTGTTCAGGAAGTTGAACGTTGGTTCACACAGATACGTGGTGTCATGTCTCAACCATTACCGTGTCGAACAGGACAGTTGGACGGCCCCCGCCCCCCAGCAGCATCCATGGACACTCGCCGTCGTCCGCTTCCCAGAGTGCGGGTAGCTGGGATCATAGTCTGTGGCGGTCTCAGATTGGCTCTCTCTAGCTGGGAATGTGCATTTCCGGCTCTCTCACGTGTTATGTGTCTTGATGGCTCACTTCTTTTTACCCTGAGTGACACATCACTGTCTGGATGGACCACGATTGAAGGACATCTTGGCTGCTTCCGGGTTAGTTGGCTCCTGCGAATGCAGGTTTTTGGTTAGACAAGGATTTTTACTAATTTGGGTCCATACCTCAGAGCACGTTGCTAGATCCGAGAGCATGTTCAGCTTTCTAAGCCACTGCCAGGCTGTCCTCCGAAGGGGCTGCGTCAGTTGGCCTCCCAGCAGCAGGGACGAGAGTGCCCGGTGCCCCCGTCCCGCTGAGCACATGCAGTTGCCGGGTTCTGGGAGTTTCGCTCTTCCCATTAGGCGCACGGTGGTGTCTCGTTGCGGTTTGAATTTGCAGTTCCTTAATGACGTATGATGCGGAGTGCCTTCATCCGTCTGTGTTCCTTCTCGGCTGGGGTGTCTGTATCTTTGCTCACTCGTTTTTTCAAGTGCTCTCCGGGCGCGGCATGCAGCCCAGTGGGGCCCCAGTTCACCACCCACGATCAAGACCTGACGAGACCCAGAGTCCGGTGCTCGGCCAGCTGAGCTGCCCTGACGCCCCTGTTTTGCCCACTTTTAAATAGAGTTGTTTTCTTGCTCACTTTTTAGATTCTTTTTGTATTTTGGATGCAAGTGCTTTATCAGGTGTGTGTTCTGTAAATTCTCCCTCCTGGTCTGCGACTCGTGCTTTCGCTCGCCCAACACCGCACATGGACTTTTTGGTGGGTCCAGACTGGTTATTCTCTAGAATGTTTTGTCCTAAGCTTGTGGCAGACGGGACTGAGAGTCAGACCCCACTTCCTGCCATCCACAGGGACGCGCTGTACATACGGAGACGATGGTGTGTCTCACAGGTACTAGTGGTCAGAGGGCCAGCCTGGCCCCGTTGGCAATCAGAGAACGGACTTGGAGACTGTGTGTTGCCAGAGGAGGAGCAGGATATCTCATGACGACCCGCGGTCAGGTGAACCGCCCCGAGTGCGTGTGCACCTGACGGGAGCGCTCCGAGTGCACAGAGCTAGCGTGCCGGCCCCAGAGAGAAAGCCGCGCGTCCACAGTCCTTCAGAGCTTCGAAGAACCGTCTGTCAGTCGTGGCGGGTCAGAATGGAAGTTAAAATTACAGCTAAAGTGGGCAATTAAAAACCTTGTCACAGAGAAAACTCTAGACATAGTATGTGTTTTCTAGTTAAAAAGGAATCCGTTACCACCATGAAGCTTGGAACGCCACCATCGGCCACTTTGCACAGCAGACACCAGCCTCTGCCGACACTGCGGACCGGGCACCCTCTCAGGTGTGGCTGGTGGGGCCCCCAGAGGGCCACGCGCGGGTCCCCCACGTCTCCGTGAGGCCTGGGGGATCGGCCTCCTGCAGCGTGTACCCTCTGGGCACAGAACTTGGAATTGCAGGATATCTGGAAAATCCTCAACTATTTGCACATTGAGTAACACGTGTGTTAAGAAAGATACCACAAAGGAAATAAAGATCATTGAGACTGAACAGTGAGACTGGGGCTCACCAGATTTGCAGGATGCGGTTCACTTAAATCTTTGTACAGAAAGGCAGGAAGGTTTGAAATTAGAATCTCGGTTTCTGCCTTAAGAAACTAGAAAACAATTGGCCCACTAAGCTCAAAGCCAGTAGAACGAGAGACGTATCAAAGAGCAGCAAGGAGTAAAGTGGAGGACGGGCCGTGGAGAGGGCCGACTGCTCACATCATTTTTCTGAAGGACGAGTCTCTAGCTGGATGGATCAAGAGGGAAAGAGAAAACAGGATCCACGTGTGGAAATGAAAGAGTGGACATCACCCCGTACCCTGTAGACGTAGAAGAGATGAGGACAGATTAATATTTTATACCAATACATTTAACAACTTAAATTAGATGGGAAATGCCTTAAAACACACAACTTACCCAGAGTGACCCAGAATGTAACAGAAAACCCGAGGAGCCTGTATCCATCAGAGACTGAATTTGTGGTTGAAAGTCTTACAGTCGACTGGTGGACGAGCGAGTGTTTTCCTTTGAAAATTATCGTACAGCAAACTCTTTCCTGATCAGTGTGTGTAAACTGTTAAATCATAAAGGGAAAAAGGCATCTGGGGGTGTTCCTCCTAAAGCAGGAGGCGCACAGGCCGCGGGAAGTGAGGTGTGAGGTCCCCGAGTCTGTCCTTCGCTCTCGCCGGCCGCCCCAGGCACTGCAGGAGCGGGTCCCACCCCAGCGGCTGCCTAGAAGGGGACCGGGTGTGTGTGTGTAACTGCCGCCCCGCCCCGCCCTGCCCCCAGCCCTGCCGGACTGATGCACGTGGGGTTGAGAACTTCTGCTCTGTTAATCCGGTTCTCAAATAGGATAAGACATCCGAGGAGTGGGTTAGGGTTTTATCTCTGAGCATCAGGGGAATCATATTTTTTTTGAACGTTGAAGCTCTCACAAAGAAATAGTCCCAAGTTCTCCAGCACTTCTCCTAAAGAGATGGGATCTGCACCCACCGTCTTCAGTGGTTGCAAACATCAAGTCCTAGAAATCCTCAGAAAAGTCAGGTCTACAATAAAATTAACAGCTCTTTTTCTCTTGGAGCCCGCGGCACTCTCAGTACAGGTACAGTAGTTACGAGAAATGATTCGGTAGGATTTGGGCACCGACGCGGCTCTAGAATTACAAGTGTGCGAGTTTGATAGCGGAGCACCGAGGAGCCTCCGCCTTCCGCCCTTCTGTAGCCTCGAGGACGCGCTGGGCACGGAGCGGAAGGGGGAGCCCGCCACCGCCGGTAGAGCACAGCTTTCAAAACCAGTACGTGCTGTTATTTAGTGATATTTACTTAGAAGTACTGACGGAGAACCTGGTTATTTGTGACAAAGGAGAGGCAGAGAGAGGGTCCGCGAAACCAGTGGGCCTCCAGCTGGATGGATTTTGAGGGACGGAGAGTTTGCTTGGGGCTCCCGCTCCCCAGTCACTGGCGGCCGCGCTTGGACCAGGAGCCGGCCTCTTCCACACCTGACATTCCGGGCCATCCCCTCCCACGGGGGGTCCTGTGTTGGGAGGATGCCCTGTGGAAGGAAAATGCATCTTCTTCGTCTTCCTGTGGACCCCTTCGCAAGCGGGGCTATGGGGCCATGCACGGGGTCAGAAGGAGGCTCGCTGCCCCGGGGGTCCCTCCGGGAAAGCCCTCAGGAGGAGGCGCGTGACTGTGGCTGAGACCTCTGCCTCACCCTTGGACGTTTTTGGCCAAAGATGCACCCGGAGTCTTCTCAGAAATGGGGAGGTGCTTCCCCCGAGGTCACGGCTTCCCCCGGGAGCCCAGGGCCGCTCTCCCCGCCTCCTGTCCTGGCGCCTCCCCGTGCTTGGCTCAGCCTGGAGGACAGTCGGACGAAGCGGGGGGACCCTTCTTTTTCGTGTTTAATGCAACCTGGCAGATGAAGTGGATTGTGATGAATAAATTATCTAAAACCCATTTCAGTGTCTTTGTTTGAAATGAAAACTTGGCCTTGAGTATGTTTTTCAAGAGAAGGGAAAGATGCGTTCTCTGAACGGGGAGCTCTGGGGGGGAGAAACCAGACGTCCGCCTGGCGGGCCCGGGGGTGTCGGTGGCCTCCCGCACAGAGGGGGCCCTGCGCGCCCCCGGCCTGGAAAGCTGGTTCCGCTGAGGTGACGTGGGACGGGAGGAACAGCTGTGCTTTGGACGTTGGTTAGTAGTTCGACGCTTCTCCCTTCAGCACCATTTCTGTGACAGACACTTCCCAGGTCCCCGTCTCGTGCGGAGCAGAGCCCAGGTATGCGTGCTTCCCACACAGAGCCTTTCCTCCCCGCTCCCGCGCTCCCCCCCCACCCCCCGATGATATCGTCATCTGGGCAGTGTTCTAAGACTTGCACTTTTTAAATCATAATGCGGCTTGAATATCTTTCTGCCTCAATCCATAGCAGTGAGCCCGGTCCGGGGTATGGATGTGTGGACATTCCTCTGCTTAATGGTCCTTCATGTGGGACGTGCGAGGATGCGGGATGGGCTGTGGTGGTCCACGAAGGTTGTTGGGGCTTGCTGGGGCCTCCTCGGGATGTGGGGCCCAGGCCTCTTCCATCCGACCGTCCCCTTCTGTCCCTCTGCTCTTGTCCTCTGCGTGGTTGGAGATGTGTCACCATGTCTGCATTCCCGCAGGGGGAGAGAGGAAGAGGGCAGCAGGAGGGTGGCCCTGATGACTTGCACACATCGCTTCTGATCGTGTCCTGTTGGCCGGAGTTTGCGGGGTCAGACTGAGCTGCGGAGGGAGCTGGGAAGCGCGCCCAGCGGGAACGTGCACTGGTGAGGCAGGGGAGGAAAGACAGATTCGACTCGCCGTCTCTTCCGTGGTGGCATTTAGATGGCTGACAGGGTTTTACAGCAGGAGTATCGTTCCACCGTGTACATTTCCGTGTGCAGAGGCAAGTCTTTCTGTAGGATGGACACCTAGGAGTCAAAGGGATGTGCGTGTAAAACTGGTACGTACTCCCAAATGGCCTTCCAGGAGAGCTTCCTGGGCCGTTCGGGGGCTCAGTCGGCTGTCTCTCTGGCTCTTGATTCAGCTCAAGTCGTGATCTCCGGATCATGAGATCGAGCCCCTCGTTGGGCTCCGTGTTCAGTGCTCAGCAGGGAGCCGGCTTGAGACTCTCTCCCCCCGCCCCTCCCCCAACACACTGTCTTTCTAAAAAAATAATAATACTAAAACTTTAAATTTAAAAGCTTCCATACTCACACGCCCGCCAGCGACAGACTGGAGCCCGTCGAACGCTTCCTGCTCCGTCCGTCTTCTGGACGTCTTCCACTTCGCGGGGCGAGGACAGACGCGTGCGCGGATAGCTGGTTCGCATTGTAACGTGTGTTCCCACGACTCATCGAGAGCGCGCAGCTCTCACAGCCCTTCCCCCGTCCTGCGGTGCGGCTGCCGGTGTGTGGTTCTTACCACCGTGGGTCTGGGCAGAAGCTCTGCAGCCACGAACACCGGGAAGATCCCGTCACTGTGTTGTACTCTCTTTGCTCTTGAATCGTTTGTCGTTGGTGTGTGTTTTTTCAGAATTATATGATTATTGTGTTATTTTATTTCTCTTCAAGACTTCTGAGTTTTGTAGGAGGACTTTCTTGAACCAAAATAAATAAAAATCTTTTATTTGTTTTTATATTTAGTTTTAAAATCTGTCCTGTATTTTTTGCACGTGGCACCTCAGCAACATTGAATGGCTGGTGACGTTCTGTGGCGTCACTTGCGGAATTGTTCTTCCCTCACGGAGCTGCCCTGCCGCCCTCGTTGTAATTATATATGTGGGTCTATTTCTGGATGTTCTCTTCTGTTGATTTGTTTTTCTCACCCTCCCTAATACCGTCCTTAATTACCACGGATTTATATATATTTAGTATCTTATGCAGGTCCCTGCTCATTATTCTTTATTTGAAAACGGGTGCGTGTGTGCGTGACGGTCTCGTGCAGTTCTGTTCCGCGCTGACTTTAGGATCAGCCTGTCAGATCGCTGGTACTTTGGGCGTGCGTGGACTCGGTAGGCTCCTTCGGGAAGCCTCGACACGTGTGGAAGCGTCCGGTGAGCATGCCCAGGGATGGCATTTCCAAACGTTCTCGATCGTAACACAGCGACGACCTGCCAGCCACGGGAGGGGCAGGGCAGCCTGGCAAAGCGGCCCAGCGTCAGTGGAGCGGGATCCCTCTCGGGGCCAGATGTCTGCCCCTATACGCACATGCACCTGTGCTGTCCGCGCGTGGCCTCATCCCGTCTGGGTTGACTTAGATCTCCTATTTGCTGTGCGTTTCGGGAAAGCCTCTGCTGGCCGCCTCCGTCCCGTCACAGATGTCGCTGGGCCCTGCAGGGTCCTCTGGGCTCCTGGCCTGTTTCCCTGACCGTTCTTGCCGTCCTTGTGGCGACACCAGAGGCCCAGCTGCGGGGAACACAGTCCCCTTCGCTGCAAGCATACGGTGTTGACTCTGGCAGCTCCGCCGGGCATGGGGGGGTGCGAGGAAGGGTCAATGCGGGTGGTGGTCTGTGCCGAAAGACCCCAGCCTCTGAGCGATGAGTGTCCTCATCTCTCTGCTGAGGTGAGAACATCCTGCTCTCTGATTCCCAGTCGTCTCCCGAGTGTTTTCGAGTACTGAACAGTACAGTGTGTCCAGAAAAAATTTCACTTAGTGGATTCATGTTAATAAGTTTCTGTTCAGTGGTTTGAAAAAATCAGAGTGCCAAATCCGCTTGTGTCCCTTAAGTGTGATTTCCAAGTCATCTGCAGGATTACGTGCTTACGGTTCTCTGAAATAGAAGGTACTTTGGGGGAAACATGCAGATTTGAGCCTAGGCAGCTCCTCGGAACATCTCCCTGGTACGTGCGGGACGTGGCATGTTCTAGAAGCACACACGAGTCGTGGAGGAAGATGGCAGGCAGGGAAAGGGACATGTGCACATCCTTTAAGTGTGTAAGGGGGACCGTGGTTTGGTTCCTGGGAGAGGGAGGTAGATGGGGAAGCCCTGCTGGTAGGACGCATGGAGGGAAGTCCCGCCACGAGCAGGACTATGGCCCGGGTTCGCAGGAGACAGTGAGCCGCTGAATCCGGCAGTGACAGCCGAGGAGCTCTGGAGTGGGGACAGGACTGGGGCCGCCGTCTGGCGCTCACAGGTCAGGGCACAGTGGCACGCGGGCATGTGGCAGAGGGTGTCATTGGCTATGACTTCCCACGTTCATGAGCCGTGACGCAGCCCTCCGTGGCGCCTGGCCTGGGGTGTCGTCCCTCCCTTGTTGAGCAGGGGGCGGGTTGGCGGTCCTGTGCAGGAGATGTAAGTCACACGTGCACTGTGTTTTGTTTTCCAGAACTACACACAGTACATCCCGCTGTCTGTGTATGACCTGCAGACGTGGATGGGCAGCCCGTCCATATTCGTCTATGACTGCTCCAACGCCGGCTTGATCGTCAAGTCCTTCAAGCAGTTCGCCCTGCAGAGGGAGCAGGAGCTGGAGGTGAGGCCCTCGTGCCCCAGGACTGGGGCTGAATCTCCGCGGGTTTCCTCAAGGCCGGGGCGGGGGCCGGCTCCCTTCATCGTCTCCGAGCGCTCGGGGCGCCCTGGTGGGTTCAGTGACAAAGAGCTGGGAGGCATGCGGCATGAGCCTCGGGGCGTGTTTTTACATCTCCTTTTACTCAGTGTCATTTTTAATCTAAACATTAATTAAGTGATAACATTAACAGGGTTGGTTTGCGCTCCAGTGGCCTCTGCCTCTGAGATAAATGCTTAAATAAAGCAGACACATCGATTGTGGGAGGAACAGACCCGTGGCCGGGCATAGCCATCAGTTCCACGTCTTTGTCGTTGTCCCCGCCGCGTGTGCGTGTGGGTGCGCGTGTGGGCGCGTGTGCGTTAAAAACACCCACTGAGCTAAGTGCAGAAGACGAGCGCCAGCATGGCCACCAGTCCCTTCTGTTTGAGGACCTGGAGAGCCAGGGCCGTGCTCTGCTCGTGGAGAGACGGCTCACTCGGTTGTTTTAGTTAATATTTGATGTTTGAACCGAACAGTGAATCCTGAAGAGAAATTGCAGAGGCATTTTCAATTAAGAGACCTCCCATCCCGTGGTCTGCGCGGGAGTGTGGGAATCAAATATTCTGCGGCCTCGAGGGGATCATGAATTCCGACCGGTGGCAGTGCAGGAAATACTCGATTCCGGAGCCAACGTGGTAACGAGTACGTGTTGCCTCCAGCCCGTTCGTGTCTGTTCAATTTTAATGTGATGCTGTGCCCCCTCATGTTTCATCAGAGGCTGTGGCTGACATAAACAGCGATAAAATTTGAAATTCTATGTGGCAGAATTTAAAATTAACATGTCATGCAGTTTAGGATTTTATATTTATAAATGAAGTCCCCGTGCAGAGCATGGCGTAAGAGTGACTCGCGCGGACCGTGCCCCTCTTCCTTGGGGACGGAACCCGGCTCTGCGAGGCGTGGTTTCTGCGTTCTGTCACGAGGGGAGGGAGGCCGCGTTTCGTGTCGTCCGATGATTGCCTTGCTTCTGGGCGTCTCCTGCACGTTTACCCGAGGCACAGGTCATCCAATGAGCGCCGAAGACTCAGAGCCCCGAGAGGTGATACGCTTTTCCTCACATCAAGTAACAAATATTGCAAAAAAGATTTTTCTTTTTGCATGTAAAATATGTAAGTGAGATGCCGGAGGATGCTGCCTGGTTCTGGTCCCGGTTCCTGAGCTTCAGGCTGGTGAAGGAGGACAGTGCATCTGCCTCCGCGGCCCACGGCGCAGTGGACGCGGCCTCCCCCCGTGCCCCCTGTGGAAGGCAGGTGCTCCCCCGGGCGGGGGCCTGAGCGCCAACTTCCCGGTCTGCGCCGTCACCACCTCGTGCTCCCTGTATGTCGCCGAGCCTTACTCAGCCTCGGAAACTGCTCGTTTCAGTGAGTGCGGCGAAAAAGCCTTCCATGCATCTTTTTTGGGAAAAAAATGTTTAATTGACTAATTTCTCATGGGGGAGAGCAAATGAGAAATCCATTATCTGAAGCGGCGGATAGATGGCGGTACATCCCGCCATGTGTTTTATAATCAGCTCTGACTTTCATCTCCTTCCTCTGTAATTACCGCGCAGGGAAGTCTCGCGTTTGCGCCACACGTCCTGCAGTCTGCGGCTCTTCCGTTGGTCTCTTGCATAAGTAGCAGAGATGAAAATGACAAGTGATAAAACTGGCTCCCAGCTAGTCTCTTAGTGTTCGTTTTCGCTGTCCCGTGGTGTGCTGGAGGGAGAGGAGTCCAGTGTAGCCTCTTCGCCTCCTTGTCCCGCGTCGTTCCTCCCCACTCTGCGGCTGGTCTCCGCGTGCCGTAGCGGCTTTCCCGGGGAGGCGAGGAGCGTGAGCTGCAGGAAGTCGGCCGGTGCGATGGGCTGTGCGACCTGTAGGGAGAAGAGGGTGACCGTGACTGCATGGAAGGCGCAGAGATGGTTCCTGGGACGGAGAGCCTCCAGGGCGGGATACCGCGAGGGGCGTGCGTCCAGAGGGCGGCTGTCGGCTTTCACATTCTCCGTGGGCCCACTGCCACGCTGAGGACCGGGAGCTGCCGCGAGAGTGTTGCTGGTGCCGCAGAAGCCCTCCCTGACCCCCGGAAAGCACTGCGAAAACTACTGCTCGCGGCTCGAACCATGTCTCCGCCAGGAGCACGCGCTGCCACTCAGCCGTCTTCTGCACGTTTTTCGTTGGGTCACGTCACTTTGTAGTTTGAGCATTAAGAGTTTGTTTTCAAGTCTCTGTGCTTTCAATGTTCTTTTTTAAAATAAGTAGTTTTATTATTACCAAGTGAGCATACGCCATGATTTTGGAGATCAGCTGGCACAGAGGGGCAGTGGCGGGTAGAGTGCGTCCTGGTCACGCCCGCCCTGGCCAGGGCTCACTCCGAAGGGACCTCTCGCTCTGGTTCCTCTGCTGAGCAGCTCTGTAAGTGCAGATAACCTGCCTGTCCTGGGGCTTCTCAGTTCCCAGATTTGGGGTTGTCTGTGAGCTTTCGGCCATCGGACAAACCACAGGCACTGCCACCAGTGTGTTTGGTTGAAGACGTGAAGGGACGTAGAGCTCTGGTGGCAACAGGTCGTGATGCAGTGTTTGCCCATTGTGTTAGTGCGTTCTCCAGGGCAGTTGATGGGGGCGGCCACTCACTACCCCTCCCCTCCTTACGGACGTTTAGTTGTAAACACGGGCTTCAGGCTCAGTGTACTTTGTAGCCTTTGCACATCTAAATAAAACCCTTCTGTGTATTTCTAGTTCCATCAGTAGTCGGTGACGTCTTTCGGGTTTTAGGCTCCGTGTGGACTTCTCTGGCCGTCTTCTGTTCCTTGATGGAGTCCCCATGCTTGGTACATGGGCCAGTTCTGAAACGTGACAGACGTCACAACCAGCTCACCACACAGCTGAACCAGGTGCTTTGGTTTCGTATTTCGTCACGGTTTTTGTTCTTTTGACTTTCCTGGAGACTTTCTCTTTTCTCCTTGACTTAGCTCTCTCATGTCTCCTGGGTTCCTGGAGCTGCTGGGATCGCAGAGCATCACGGAACGAGCCCTTCCCGGACGGAGTGTGTGGCTCGCTGGCTCCCTGCTCCTCGTCCAGGTGGCTGTGGTGACAGTGCGTCCCAGAGCTGCCATCCTGGGCTCCCCCTTCAGTGCCTCCCGGGCGCAGCCATGGTTTTCCAGAGCCCACCTCTGCCCCTTCCTTGGTTTTCTCCTTTGTTCTGCTGGGGCAGACCCTCAGGTCACATCCAGAGGACGGGCGTGTGGGGGTCATCGTTCTCAGCCCTCCGCTGGGCGCCTACATCTGGATGCTTCTGGCGGGAGGGATGGAGCAGCTCACCACTGCTTCTAAACCCGCAGCGCTGAGTCTCTGTCAGGAAGCTCTGTGAGGCTCGCCGTGGGGTCAGTCACTGCGCAGCTGGGCCCGGGCCGCTCGTACCCTCCGCTCTGGCGCCTCTGGCCAGTGGCGTTCTCTCCGGCCGCTGGCAGTGCCCAGGCATGAGGTGGGAAGGGGCCCGGGCCGGGGTTGGCACATCTGCCTCTCTTCACCGACGGCCGAGCAGACGTCCCGTTGTATGTGTGGCTGGCCCGGGTGACGTGGCCCCACTGTGCTTGGGGGTGGCGGCAGGGAGTGGCATGGGGCACGAGTAAGTGGACAATCTGCCAGTGACTGTGTGCAGCCTTGGGTGTGTGCAAGCCCTGCGGGGCCCCGGGTGGCATGTAGGGCCTGGGTGTGGTGGTGTTCCCCGGAGACACACTGGGCTGAGCAGCATGCCGGCAAGCCACGGCCCTGAGCACAGTCTTCCTGGGACTGGGACTGGGACTGGTGCTCGGGCCACTTCTAGGTGACCAGTGGGGAGCAGGGAGTGTGTCTTCCCTGGGCCAGGACGGTTGCTGTACCGCTCAGCCCGCCTTCAGTGGCCTCCTCTCCTCTCGCGGACTGTTGGCGCTTTGCAAGCCTCTTCCCTGGACGCCACCGAGCCAGTCCCGCGTCTGCCCTCCGTCCTCTGCTCACTGCTGGCCGGCCCACGGCTACTGGCTCACATGGCGCCCCGGCTCACGGAGACCTGTCGCGTGGACCCATGTTTGCGTAGCGACAAGCACACTCGCTCTCGCAGCACCCCTGAGTCCAAATGGAGCCACCCTGCTTCCCGCGGGCGTTCTGTGTACGAACTGACATGTGACATCGTCACACGTCTGTCACGGTGACTACATTTTATGACAGAGTTAAAGTAATTCTGACAAAAAAGAACTAACTGCGGACTCTTTGCCTCTCTTCAGGACGCGTCAAACTGCGTTCTGTAGGACTGTGGACTCTGGTTCTGACAGCACGTCACAAGGACGCCCGTGGACTTGGCCGCCGAGTCTGTAGTCTGCGTCAGGGTCCTCTTTGCGCTCCGGCGCCCGTGGGTGTCGCCTGGCACTGCAGGCCGGTTCCCGGCGTCCCGGCAGAGGTGTGTGTCGCCGCCACCGCTCACCGCGAGGAGTCGGTGTGTGTGGATGTGCGATGTTCTCTGAGCACCCGCTGTGGGGACGCGGGGCGCTGTGCTGGGGGCCTCGAGGCCCACCCAGCTCCATGGCTCCGGTGCAGCAGCCTCGAAGCCCCCACCCTGTCCAGCCGCGGAGCTGTCACCTGCGGGCGGTGGAGAAATGAGAAGTGGGTTCCTGTTCTTTAGGTGTCACCGTGCTCATTTGTGGGTTTGTAAATGGCGTCCCCTCTTCTCTGTGTCATGCCCATTCCCTCAAGTACCGACTCTTCTCTTGGGTTTACGAGGATTGTTCTCTTTTACCCTGGAGGCGTGTGACGACTCTGCGCTGTCTCCCGTGTGGACGAGGGAGGGGAAGCCCCCTTGTACTCACGGGTGGGAATTCTCAGCCGGGAAAGTGGCCGGGGGGCTGGCTGGCTGCGGGCGTAGTCGCCATGCAGGGCTGTTACCTCCCTGGGATGCCAACTGCCTCACCAGCCGCCCTG